GCCGGTTGAGCTATAGGCGCCGAGCCACAGCCTGCTATTTTTAGTGGTGGGGATCTTTCCCTGGCTCAGGAGATCCGCCTACCTCAGCCTCCCAGAGTGCTATGATTAAAGGCATGAGCCACTGCGCCTGGCCCCAAACAATTTTCATTTTTCTTTTTTTTTTTCAAGTTTTTGGCCGGGGCTGGGTTTGAACCTGCCACCTCTGGCATATGGGGCCGGTGCCCTACTCCTTTGAGCCATAGGCGCTGCTCCAATTTTCATTTTTCTTTCTTTTTTTTTTTGGACACAGAGCCTCAAGCTGTTGACCTGGGTAGACTGCCGTGGCATCACAGCTCACAACAACCTCTGACTCCTGGGCTCAAGTGATTCTCCTGCCTCTGCCTCCCAAGTAGCTGGGACTACAGGCCTCACCACAATGCCCAGCTATATTTTGGTTATAGCTGTCACTATTGGAACCTTTCAGCTCAGGTGTATGTGGCTGGTGCCTTAGCCGCTTGAGCCACAGGTGCCTAGCCCAATTTTCATTATTCATTTAAATATTTTTCTTTTTTTTTTGCCACAAGAAAATTCAGAAAAGAAACCCTAAGTTAGTAATTTCTTCCCTTCTTTCTTCCTTCAGAGCCAGACATGGATGATAGATCTTTCCCTACTTCTTATTTTTTTGATTGTTGATTTTATTATTTTTTTTTAGAGACAGAGTCTCACTTTGTCACTCTTGGTAGAGTGCTGTGGCGTCACGGCTCACAGCAACCTCCAGCTCTTGGGCTTAGGTGATTCTCTTGCCTCAGCCTCCTGAGTAGCTGGGATTACAGTAGCCCACCACAATGCCCAGCTTATTTTTATTTTTTTGAGACAGAATCTCAAGCTGTTGCCCTGGGTAGAATGCCATGGTGTCACAGCTCACAGCAACCTCAGACTCCTGGGCTTAAGTGATTCTCTTGCCTCAGACTCCCAAGTAGCTGGGATTACAGGTGCCCACCACAATGCCTGGCTATTATTTGGTTGCAGTTGTCATTGTTATTTTAGCTGGCCCAGGCCAGGTTCAGACTCTCCAGCTTTGGTGTATGTGGCCGGTGTCCTACCCACTATGGGCGCTGCCTGTCCCTACTTTAAAACAGACTATTTTAGGGCCAAAATGGGAGAGGTGGGAGAGTTTTGCCCACGATTTCATCATTGCCAGGATGAAACCCAGATGAGGGGGTGGAGCTCCCAGGTTCTCTCACTGCATGTCTCTTGCCTGTTTTCCTCTTTAGCCAGGGAGGAAAAGGGAGGCCACTGCCCACTAGTCCCCTGACTCTAAGGGTGGAAGAGGGAGGGCCTGGGAGGTGGCCCAGCACTCACTGTGCCTGCAGTCCGGGGACCCTTCCTCCTGGTCACAAGCCAGGTCATTCCTCTGTTCCAGAATGTGTTCCAGGGCCACCTGAAGCTTGCGCGGCAGGATGGAATCCTCATCTTCCATCTGTAAAGCAGAAGTAGCAGGTGGGCCTTTGCCCAGTGCTGCTGGGGATGGTGGCTGCGGCCTGGCTGGCAGGATGCACTGAGCATGACACGGGGCAGGTCTGGCTCAGTTCTCAGTTTAGTGAGAAGAATAACACTTACGGCTGCAGTTTGAGGTTTGAATCTTCATTCTACTTTTTCACAAGTTGTGTGGACCTCATTTCCCCCATTTGTAAAACTGGCTAAAAATCCATGGCTGCCTTCTTGTGAAGATTAAATGCAATACAATTACCTCATGAAAGTGCTTGGCACTAATGGATACTCAATGGATGTTTCCACTGCCCCCACCCAGGAGAGTAGCAAGTGCTAACCTGGAGACCCTGGCCAGGGCAGATGACCAGCATGACCCATGGCTGGCTTTATGATCTGGGCTTTAGCGTAGGTGCACCTTGGGGAAGGGCCTACCTTGCAGGCCTTTGGGAAGTGAAAGTAATGATTAAAAAAAAAGCATCACACTACTGAACTTTTCAGCAATGTGGCAACTCCAAGTTTAGAAACAATCCATAAAACTGCTCAGAAACCTTTCTGTAATTATTCTTTGTAAGATCTGATAGGTTTCAGACCTCTCTGGCAAATGATACAAAGAAAACACATTACTTTTTCTGCTAATAAAAGTAATTTATGATCAGTATAGGAAATACATGAAAGACTAGCACAAATTAAAAAAAAAGACTAACACAAGTTAAAATCATCTTCATCTGCTTCCTTGTTACTCTACTTCCCCAAAACAACCATCATGAATGTTTTGGTGGGTTCTCCTTTCAATCTTTTTAAGATGCTCATATATATTTCTTTTTCTTTTTGTCTCCTTAAAGAATAAATGATCAGAAACATAATTATATAATTTTGTTTCCTGACTTACTACATCATTAACTTCGTCATCAAATATCATTTGAAAGCATGTTGAAAAGATAAGTACCTTATAGCCATAAGCTATACACAGGTTCTTGTTCTAATTGATAGGAAACCATTTTATGTTGGATCGAATGGAAAACACCCCTTTGCCATGGCTCCTCCTCTGGCCCCTGTCTTGTGCTCTATCTTGTCCTGGCCTGTGATTACACAGCTCCCAGGCCTACTCAGGAACCCTTCCAGGGCTAGAGAACTGAGACCCCAACAAGGAAGAGGGAAGGAGAGAGGGAGTAGAGGGTTGCAACTGTCCTCACTCACCTGTCTGAGGAAGCGACTGTTGACTAGGTCAACCACGAGGACCTACAAGACGAGAGGAAAAGGGACTGTTATTGCCACAGGGCTTCTGGGATACAGACGGACTCTTGGCCTTCCTTCCTGGCACCCAGAGAGGCAGCTGGGATGCGGGTGAGTGGTGTCGGTGCTTCCCAACACTGCCACCATGGCCCCAGATGGCGAAGGAGGCCGAGCTCTCAACACCACAGCCACAGGCTGGGACACATCCTAGCTGCAGGCCATCCCTGTCCTGCTCTCGGGGCTGGCTGAGGCAAAGCTTCTGTGTTTCAGGCTGTGGGTTCCTCAGGCTGGGAAAAGACGACACCAAATGCCCCACTTGTTCCCACCCCTAGGGCTTCTCCCTCTTCTTTCCCCTTGCTGGCCACTTAGCCTAGTTACTTCTCTCTAGGGGAGAGAAGGAGTTAATTGGGCAGCAAGCAGTGGCTTTCATTGGTTAAGGCTTTCAGGATAAAACACCTTCCCTCTCGCCTGCCAGAGTGGGGCTGAGATCCAGGGCAAAGACCAGGGCAGGGAAATAAAGTGTCCAAGGTATAAAACTCAAGGAGGCATGGGCAGCGCCTGTGGCTCAGTGAGTAGGGCTCCAGCCCCATATACTGAGGGTGGCGGGTTCAAGCCCGGCCCCAGCTGAACTGCAACCAAAAAATAGCCGGGCGTTGTGGTGGGCGCCTATAGTCCCAGCTACTCGGGAGGCTGAGGCAAGAGAATCGCTTAAGCCCAGGAGTTGGAGGTTGCTGTAAGCTGTGTGACTCCACAGTACTCTACTGAGGGTGATAAAATGAGACTCTGACCCTACAAAAAGAAGAAGAAGAAAAAAACCAACTCAAGGAGGCATTCACTTGTGGGGTCTCCTCACTTAGATCTCAGCCACGGCCACTCGCTGGGATGGAGAATAGCTAGGGGCCTGGCTGGCCACAGTGAGAACAGCAGGAAACATGTGGACTTTCCCATACTCCAGAGAGCCTGCCCAGGAGCTGAGGGAGGGCTCGGCTTTCTTCTCACTCACACCCTTAGGGTTGAGCTGAGCCATTTGCAGGAGCACAGGGTGTGCAGACAAGCTCCTCGAAGTCGTCAGGCCCACACTGCAAGACCTGAGGCTGGCGGTTAGTACTTAGTGGGGCATTAGGACTACCCAGCAACAGAGGAGCAGCACCTAGGGACTGGGAGAACTGCAGGATAGACAGGCAGACACTCTTCCTGGTGCTTCAGGGCCTGAGCAGCACTAGTTAGTTCCCTAAGGTTCCCTCTCTGACTGCTGGAAGTCCCCAGTGCAAGGGGACAGAAACTGTTTAAAGTAGGGGCTGGGAGGAAAGAACTCTGGAAATGCCAAGGAGAACTTTCTCCACTTGGAGGCTAAACTGAAAGCCCAGAATTTGATAATTAAAAACATTCTGGGCTCAGTGCCCAAGGCGCCAGCCACGTACACGAGAGCTGGCGGGTTCAAACCCAGCCTGGGCCTGCCAAACAACAATGACAACTACAACAAGAAAATATCCATGCGTTGTGGCAGGCGCCTGTAGTCCCAGCTACTTGGG